CAGCCCCAGTCGGGGCGCCCTCTCCATTGATCCCGCCCACAGTCTGGTCACCTCCACGGACCTGCTGCTGACCGGTCATGAGAACGGTACTGTCAACTTCTGGAGACTGGGACCGGGTGGTTGCGCACGAAAGGTCTTCACCCTTTACACCGGATCCCTCTTTGACGGTGAATTCGGACCAGACGCGGGTGGGGTAGGTGCCCTGTACTATGATTATTCAATGAAACGTTTCTTTATATACATTTATCACATTACTTTTAATACTAACGATTTTACGAAGGGGCAGTACACAGTTGTTCCGCAGTTATTGATTGTCTTCTACTCAACTGATATTTGACTTTTCGGGCATGACCCTAAAAAGCCATGCCGGACACTTCATTCCAATTAATAACTTCCGAAATTGTAAGCTTGTGCCCCCAGGTTGCTAGTAGGCTGATAATGCATGCTGAACCAGAAAGGACAATTTGGTTCTCCTTTGCCATTGTCTTTAAAGGTTAATCCGCATTTATAGTGCTGGAATTGTGCTGGCCGATCCGGCTACTAAACGTCCCGTTGTATCTTGAACTTTAATCTCGATCTCCCGAAGGCAATTCTGTAGCCAACACGAATATATTAGTTGTACTTGATACGGCTGTGATGATGCCAAATCTAGCCGGCCTCAGTGATGTAACGACCAGTACCTCGCCACGCGTGAAGCTTGGCGGCAGCGGATCTGCAGAGCGCCATCCATTCACTTATCCAGTGACAGACTGAAAACCGAAGGTATGAGAAGTGTTTCCATGTCTTGACGAACATGATAAGATGGCTCGAGATATCCTCGCGATACTGTCGCTGCGAGAAGGCGCGCTCTATACTCCAAGTATACTTAAAGTTGTGATGAACAAGCCAAGGACGACTGTTGTGTCCATTTCTGGATTGTTAGCCGTTATCAATCAGCTGTACTTACCTTGGGATTAGAACCATGGTACTGGTAGAAAACTCAGACATGGACATATTGATGACAAAATGGCAGACCCTACAATACAAAGAAAACAATATCAATCACTGTAGCTCGTGTTTCTGCCTCAAAGATTAGCCTATTCCTCAGTTCACTATAAATAAAAACCACTGTCGTGGGCACCCTGGTACAACTTGTTATCTCTCCGTCGTCCTCTGCATTACTTGCGGGCTGTCCTGTCGACAGCGATCCTTTTACTCTTTATAACCGATATAACCGATTAAGCGAGTTCCTGAACGGAGTTCAGAAAAAGAAAAGATGCATCATACTGAATTGCTTCCTATCGAATTTAGTCGGGACCTCCACCTCTTAAATGCGTTGTTTTCTAGGCTATTTTGCCAGAGAACAGTTTTGTCCCTACTTATAGGGCTGTAGGAGTACGAAAAGCACTGCGCTGTGGAGCGACTGTCATGTCCTTGAAAGTCAGACTTTTTTCCCATTTATTCTGTCGCACCTTTAGGACGCTCGTCGCGACGGTGACGACGAGAGCGACCCCTGGCCGCCCTTTAGACGGGCAGGACTCTTCGATCCCTTCATGGACGACCCACGGGCTGCTGTGAAGTGCATCCAACTCGTTGAGAACACCTTGGTCGTTGGTGGGGCGGCCGGACAGGTAGGCTCTCACCTCCCCCTCTCTCCCAACAATCTGCTCTCTTTTTCATGTTTCCGATTGCCCCGTAATGTTCTGCTTGGATTTTCTCTAAGAAACTAGGAAGACAACTTAGGCATGTTCATGGTGCCTTTTCTCTATCCTAAAACGCCCCTGCATGCAATTAAACAATTATTCTCTAACTAACTCCCCCCTTTCCCTATATTTCGCGGAAACGACGTCGCCAGAGTGAAGAAACAAAAACTTTTCAGTGACTGCATTTGACGTGCATTGCCCGACCTCCACCTCGGGGATAGACATTGGCGCCATCAGTTGACAAATGTAAACAGGCTGTATTTGCGTTCAAAAATTGATCCTGTCCTCGGATCCATGCGTACCCGGTCTCGTTATTAGGGACCTCGTATCTCACTTATTTGAGACGGCTCGAGAATAAAGGAGTCACTGCAGCCAGTCACCTGGCAAACCTATTAACTACGACTGTTATCCCTCCACGATATTTGCGAGAGAGAAAGAAATATGCTTTATTTTGAAAGTAAGCATCCAACATTTTCATAAACAATGGCTCCATTCACGGAGAGCAAGGGATAAGGTAAGGTAAAAGGTTATAGAGTACTCAAAACCTAAAAGTTTACATGATATCCACATCTGTTATGGAAACAGGTCTGATTTCAACTTCTGAATTTCCGTTTCTTCACACGTGAGGTAGCATACTAGGAATGGGCGTATAGAGTGCTGATATGCAGATGTACGGCAAGGCGTCTGACGGAAGCTTCGGCGCATTGTACGGGAAGACTTCGCAGTCATTTGTTCAGAGCGGAGGGGATGAACAACCTCACTAAGAGTGTGATCAGCAAATTGTTTGACCGTTTTAAAGTGTCGCTTTTATGATAATATCAGCTAAAAAAACACGGGAATGTTTTAGTGTTCACTGTCAGGAAGCGAGCGTTGAAGCGACCGTTCGTCCCCTTCTCCCCTTCACCCCCGCGCCCGAGTGATTTGTCTGATTGAAGCAGACTCGAGGTAAGTCTGGACGTAGTGGCTGGCATAGTACGAAGCTATGCTTAACTAAAGGTACTTGTACTTGATCCTGTGATCCCGTGAATCGACTTCACGGATGCCACGGACCGTTGGTGGCGATAGGAAGCGAGCTCCTCGAAGATGTCAACCCAGTGCTT